GCAGCAGAGAGCAGGGGTCTCGCGGACCAGCTGCTGCAGGGGCAGAGTGGACCCACAGGGTACGTGTGCGGTCCTGTTCTTCGATGCCCTATGGCTGTTGTTCTTCTGGGTCATGAGTCCCTGGTACCGTCACAAACCCCATGCTTCCCCTTCACCATTCCCACCAGTTTGTCCTTGTCGTTTGTAATTTCATGTGGCTTCCACCACCGCTCGGTGAGGCTGTGGGTGGCTCTGTTTAAGTCACAGCGGGATTCCCTGCCTGCTCACACCGGCCTTCCTGGTGGGGGTGGTTGGGTCCCTCCGACTCAGGGGCCCCGGGGCAGTGGAAGGAAGTGTTGCCCGGTCCTGCGTGCACCAACGTGTAGTTGTTGGTGAGCTCCAGTCGGTGTGGCCGCCCACTCATGGCCCGTGTTGACTCAGTGACTTCATGGTCCACCCTGTGCTATTCAAGGATCACTGGGAGTCAGACTCAAGTTAATGGGAGTATTTGGGGTTTTTTTTTTTGCTTTGGCCACTGTTGGTGATGCAGAGGGTTCTGCCATGGGCTGCTAACTTACCAGGTCAGCAGTTCCAACCCACCACCCTCTCTGCGGGAGAAATGTGAGGCTCTGTGCTCCCCCAAAGTTGTGCAGTCTCCCCAACCTCCAAGGGCAGTTCTCTTCTGTGCTGTAGGGTGGCTGTGGGTCAGAATGAGCTCTGAGGCAGTGAGTCTAAGTTTGAGCCAGAGTTGGGGGGTCCAGCAGCACCCTGTTAGGGAATGTTCTATTGCGATCGGCTGGGTTCTCTGAGGGCTAATCTTCGTAATTTGGGTCTGCTTAGGAAGCTAACCAAGGATTCTGACTGCTAGCGACACCCCTTGGGACAGAGTAGAACTGCCCCTGTGGGTTTCTGAGGCGGTCTCTCTGGGAGCGGGCAGCCTCCTCGCCCTCCCGCAGACCTGCAGGTGCTTCCAGGTGACCTTGCAGACAGCCACCCAGTGAACCACCCTGCCGGGCTCCTCCGCCTTAGCTGATGCTCCCTCATGATTGCTAGATGAATTAACCTCCCATCCTAACACACATCCCATCCACTCCTAAGGCCAGGAGCTTCTGGAGGGAACTAGAACCTCATTTTTGTCAGCATACAGCCCACAGCCCTCAGCTCACCCTCCTACTTGGTATCCTGGCCTCTCCTCTGGCCAGCTGGGACCAAGGAGTGGGAGGACGGGCACTGGCCCAGGAACTGTGTTCTGGGCCTGAAGGAGCACGTGTGCAATGCGACCCCCATCCTGGCAGCAGAGAGCAGGGGTCTCAGCATAGGCATTGGTCTTCGTCCTGGTCCTCGTCTTGGCTGGGCAGGGGAGGTGGGTGATGATGGGACTGACAGACTGTGTGTCCCCCGTGTCTTTGCCTCCTGTGGACAGGACAGTGATTGCCCACACCAGGGCTCTGGACCCCACGCGGCCCGTGACCTATGTGACCAACGCCAACTATGCCACAGACCTGGGGGTGAGACTGGGGTCTCCACGCAATGCTCCTCACTGGCTGTCCTCCTGTCCTGTCCTAAACCTTGCTAGAGGGCCCGACCGGGGAGAGCCAGGCCACCGAGGGCCGGGAGGTGGACGTTTGCTGCCCACCTGTGGCTTCATCCGTAAGGCCTTGCAGTGGGCACAGGCAGAGCCCGTAAGATCTCTGCTTGGACTGTGAGTTGGCTTTTGGGGCGGGGGTGCCCGTGTTCACCGGCCAGTGTTTCTCACCAAGCCCCTGCTCATCGTCCACCAGGGAGGGGACTTGCCTGTCCTTGGATTCTGATTCGGTTTAGTAAGTGGGGGTGAAGGTGGGGCTGCGGGCTTCCTTCTTTGAGCTGCTGTAACAGAGCGCACCAGTGGGTGGTCTGAACAAACAGCGATCTGTTTTCTCAGTTTAGGCGGCTCCAAGTTCAAGTCCGGTGCTGGCTCTAGGTGAAGGCCTGCTCACTCTCTTTCCCCCCTCTGCCGTTTCCAGGGGAAGGTCCTTGTCTGCTCCTCAGTGCTTGGCGGGGTTCTGGTGGCCTCTGTGTCCCCCTTTGGTCTTTGCTCCTCTCTCAGGGTCTGATCTTGTCACTTCACACAAGTCTTTGGTTTAAGACCGAGTCCCGTGCTGTGGCCGCCCTGGCCAAACAAGCATGTATAGGGTTAGCATTCTAACCCGTATTTCTGTGTGGGACAACGTGGTAGAACTCAATCCTGAACCTGGGAGGGCAGCAGTGCGTCCAAGGATCAACCCTCGCCCAGGCCCAGCAGCTGGAGGGAGACAGTGACTGGTCCATCCTCCTGGCTCCGGCCCAGCCCCCACTTCTGTACCTGGCCATCCCCTCACCTGTCCAGTGTCCATGTGCATAAGCCCAGGCTCTGTCCGAGTCAGCCTTGTGTGGAATTAAGTCCACACCGTCAAACAAGGCAGGGGCAGGAGGAGCTCTTTCACTAGAGAGCCCGCAGACGGGCAAAGCTACCCGGGGGCTGTGCTGCAGGATGAGATAGCAGCTAGAGAGAGTAGGCACAAAACCGTTGGGTGGATAGACACAGTGCCAACAGCCCTTTGACCAGGAGCCCTGGTGGTGTAGTGGGTTAAGAATTGGGCTGCTAACCCAAGGACAGGCAGTTCAAACCCAGGAGCCCCTCTGACAAAGGCAGATGAGACTTTCCACTCCTGTAAAGAGGTCCAGCCTCAGAAACCCACAGGGCCAGTGCTGCCCCATCAAAATAGCCTCAAGGCAGTGAGTTTTTTGTGTCCTTTTAACAGTGGTAAAGGTAGGTGGGCCCTGATTGCCCGCGGTCATTTCTCAAAACCCTTCGCCACTGAGTGGTTCTGACTCCCGGGGACCCCAGGTTACAGCAGAGCTGCTCCAGCCCCTTTCTGGGAGCAGGAAGTGCCGAGGTGCCACCAGGCCGATTTGCCTATTCAGGGGTCCTTCCTCCTGTGCTCCGGAGGCTTCGGGGTTGAATCTGGGGTCCATCTCTAATACGTTCACCCAAAAGATCTTCCCTTGCCGCTATCTCCAGCCCTGCATTCTCCCTGCAGTTTGGAGAGGGGCTTGGTCACTTGGGAAAGACTCTGACAGCTCTTGCCCAGCTCAGGAGGTGCACGGGCTCTGGTGGGGCACAGTCTGTGGGACCCCACTTCAGCGGCAGCCTAGACGCTTCACTTCTGTTTCCGGCGCTTTCTGGCGGAGGTGAGGGGTGAGCAGGATGGCTCGGGGGCCTCGGCCATCTTCTGCATCTGAGCCCCGAGGCTCCTCCGAAGGCCCCGTCAGTGAGCAGGCGCCCTCTCTCTGTCCTAGGCCCCGTATGTGGACGTGATCTGCATCAACAGTTACTATTCGTGGTATCATGACTTTGGACACTTGGAAGTGGTTCCCACACAGCTGACCTCCCAGTTTGAGGCCTGGTACAACACCTACCAGAAGCCCATCATCCAGAGCGAGTACGGGGCCGACGCCATCGCAGGGTTCCACCAGGTGAGTGAGGCAGAACGGCCGCTCACCTGCTCCAGCTGGTCCCTTGCTTCTGCATGGCCGGCAGGTCACACATACCCAGCCCATACCTGGCCTCCTCCTGGAGTCCCCTCTAGGACTTGGGGCCCAGGGGCAGCCTCCCTAGTGGGTTTCCTTCTGGACAACCCCACCAATGCCCCCCATGGTCTTTCTAACCCACCCACACCTGGTGTCCCCTAGCCCATAGGACAAAGCCCACGTGAAGGCTTGCTCTCCACCCCCTCCTGGGCTTCAAGCCTCCTCCTCCGTCACACCCAGCACTGTCGGTCTCCACTTCAGTGAAGGGACCTCTTCCTTGGATGCTCAGGTTGGGGCCACAATCACCATCCACCAGACACTGTGGCAGCCTTCACGTCTCACCTCCCACGACTCGGCCCAGGACGGCTGCACGTGTTCGTCATTGTGGTGGTTCTCAAATTCCCCCATGAGCAGAACCAGCATGGCTCTATGAGGGAACGTGTCGTTCTGTTGCTTGTAAGGTCCCCCGGAGTCCGAGCAGACTTGACAGAAACGCACCTACCTGGGCTCCTCGCAGTGTCCCTGCTCACAGTGCCACACTTGTGACCAGCAGCTTCCTTGCTAGGTGGTGAGGGATGCTTGTTCGCTTTACCTCCAGTGCTCATCAGCCTTGTGAGGTGCCCAATTGATTCCGACCTGTGGCGACCTCTTGTGCCAGAGGAAAGTGGCCCAGAAGATTGCCTGCCTCTGCCTGTGCCCTTGGTGCTGAGCGTTAGTGGGCTGTTGGTTCAAACCCACCAGCTGCCCCAAGGGCACCATTTGCTCTCCCAGAGATGAACAGTCTAGGAAACTCTAAGGAGGGTTGAAATGGGTTGGAGTGGACCCTATGGCAGTGGTTTGGGGGTGGGGGAGAGTCTTTGTGGAAACAGATTCCCAGGTGTTGCTCCCACAGTGCTGCTCGCTGGGTCTGAACCTCTAGCCTCTTTGGTTGGCAGACAAGTAAGTGCTTCACCATCATGCCACCAGGGCCCCTGCCTGCCACCTTCCCTCTCACTGCCAGCCAGTTCAATCCAACACCTAGCAACCCAAGAGGATGGAGCAGAATGGCCCCGTGGGTTCTAGAGAATGGAAATCACTCTGAAAGGCTGTGCCTTTGGCCCGTGGAGCGGCTGGCTGGTGGGCTTGAACAGCTGACCTTGTAGATAGCAGCTGACAGGTAACCCACTCTGCCGGTAGGCCCTGTCTGTCGGTCACATGAGCAGATACTGAATAGTGACCTGCTGAAGGGCTGGTGCGAGTCTGGATCCAGGTGACTCCTGCCAGGCTGCTCCTCCAGCACCCCGCAGCTCAGGAAAAAGCCTGAGGCAAAAGCCTCTCTTTCCTTCCTTTAAAGTTCAGCTTGGAGACTGCACTGGTGCATAGAGATGAGAAAAGGAGCCAAAACAAATGTCAAAAGTATGTTTATAAACCAAAATGCCACTGCTGTTCAGTCCGCCCAGAGTCTTTACCACCTGTGTAGGGTTTCCCAGGCTGCACATCTTGAAGGAAGCAGACAGCCTCATCTTTTCCCCTGTGGAGCTGTTGGTGGGTTTGAACCTTGGACATTTTGGTCAGCATCCCAACCCTTACCTGACAGCAGTAATAAGTATTTGCACATTAAAGCAGATACCAATTAAGCTCTGACAGAAATAACTTCTCCGAGCTGCCTGGGAGCCCCATACCCACCTGCCCTCCTCACACAGCATCAGTGGACCCTGCAGTCTCCACAGCCCACTGGGAGCCCAGCTCTGGGGAGCCCACAGGTCAGCGGGCCCGGCCTCTTCCTGTCTCTCTCCGCCCCTCCTCCCAGGACCCGCCCCTCATGTTCAGTGAGGAGTACCAGCGGAGCCTCCTGGAGCAGTACCACCTGGTCCTGGACCAGAAGCGCCGCGAGTATGTGGTGGGCGAACTGATCTGGAACTTTGCGGACTTCATGACCGCCCAGTGTAAGTGGATGGGAAGGGCCTTTGCTGGGCTGTGGTCTCGGGGCATCAGGCGGTAAGAAGAGCTGGTCTAGTAGGTGTGGGCTGAGCAGAGCAACTTGCATGCTGGGGCCTTTGCAGCTGCAAATCACTCCCTCACCTGCTTCCCCAGTCATTCATTCTGTGGTTCAAAGAAGCCAACGGGTGGCCCTCCATCCTGAGCCACAGCACCTGACTTGGCACTCTCTCACTGAGAAGACCCCAGGAATCCCTGGGTGGGACACACAGTTCAGCACTCAGCTACTGCACCAAAGGCTGTGGTTTTAAATGCAACCAGAGGCATCTAAGTCCTGGTGGTCAACTGCAGATCACAACCTTGTTTTGTTTGCTTCTCTTAATAAGGTAAACACAGACCTTGAATGGCATTTGCTGTTGGGATTCACTTGTGATTTCCTGAAGATTAATAACGTGGAATTTAACAGTGACCCCAAAATCCAACTCGGCAACCCTAAAGGACAAAGTAGAACTGCTCCACAGGGTTTCTGAGACCAGGGCTTTCCTGACTCAGCCAGCTTCCTCTTTCTCTCAAGGAGCAACTGGTGGGTTTGACCCAGTTACCTTTAGGTTAGAGCCCCGCAAGAAACTCAGCCACTGAACTGATTCCGACTCATAACAGCCCTTGTAGACCAGGGCAGACCTGCTCTTGTGGGTCTCAGAGACTGGCTTTATGGCAGGAGAAAGCTTCATCTTTCTCCCGTTGTCAGTGACAATCATATTCAAAAGTGACAAGTTGGGGATCAAATATGGAGCTAGGCTCTCCCGTGGGGGTCAGAACACAGAATAGGGTAGGAAACCTGAGAACCAAGAGCTTCTCTTTTCTATCGGTTTCCAAGTGCTCTGAAGGTGGGTATATTTAAGTCCTCAAAGGAAGTAAGACCTTACTGTTCCTCCTCCAGTGGGGACAGCTGAGGGCTGCTTCCATGACATTTTAAGGAAGTGTCTCTCACTTCCTTTTTGCTGTTGTTGGAAACACACACACACACACCTCTGGATTTCTTGACAAAGCATCCAGGGAGCATAGCAGTTTGAGATGGTGAGGAAAGACAGGCAGGTCTTTGACCGATTCAAGTCTAATTAAAAATCAGGATGATGATGAGAGAGGACGCAATGAGCAAGGTGAGCAGGCAAAGACAGAGTGAGGACACAGACCTCGGACGTGCTCGGAAATGAGGCGAACAGTTCTGGAAATCCCGGGGGCCCTCAGAAAGTTGGTGGGGAAATGCAATTAAAGGGTGATGGGATTTTCCCACCAACTCTTCAAATCCTCGTATTCTGGATGGTGATCTGGTTTCATGAGTGCACCTGGGGCCCACTGCCTGGCCAGGTCGACGTGTGCTCCCGCCTGCCCCCTGCAGGCCAGTGGCAGCATTCTCGTACTGGCGAGCTGGGCAGGTGCGCACGGGAGAAATGCTGATAAGCCGAAGTTCTCGGTGGCAAAGAGCTCCTTGCCCTTGATTTGGCAGACTGGCCACCGTGACTCAGAATCTTCTCAGTGGCAACGGGTTTGGATTTTGGTCTGGGGCGGCTGCTTGCAGGGGGTTGCAAGGATGTGGAGAGCACAGCCCGGGAAGGCTGTCACCAATGCTGCTCCCTTCCCGGCTTCCTACCCAAGTGAGCCAAGCTGGAAGTCTGCTTTCCAGGACCAGAAACCCACCAGCAGACTCCTCGTGGGCACCTCTGACTGCCCAGGAGGCCAGCTCTCCTAGCAGAGCGGTTTCTTCAGAAAGGCCCCGAGGCAGGAGTCCCTGGGTGAGTGAGTGGTCACGCACCCAGCTGTTATGTAAAAGGATGACAGTTGGAACCCTTCCTGGGGCCACTCCTAAGGCAGGCCCGGTGTTCTGCGGAATGGGCACACTCTTCAGCGCCCTACAGAGCCGTTCTACTCTGTCCACGGGGTTCCCACAGCCTGAAATCAAGCCCACATCCATTTCCCGGGAGGGATTCCGGTTCACTTTGACCCGAGGAGGGTCTCCTAGATTGGAAATGTCTATCGAAGCGGACAGCTCATCGTCCTCCCACTGAGTGGCTGGGGGGTTGGAAGGGTCGGCCTCACTGGAGCAGCCCCCAGGCTTAAACCCACAGCATCACCAGTTTCCAACCGGCCCCACAAGGTCATAATTTAATGGAAGACTGACGTGAGTCTTGCCCAGGGCGTTTTTGGCCCAGGTCCCCTTCAGTGACCAGGCAGCAGCCAGCCACCCACAGGGTTACACACTTGCTTGGAAAGTAAAGAATAAATCATTTTGGACATTCTGTGTCCCCCACCCCTACACACAACAGAGTAGAGAATAACACCCCGTGGAGGTGAGGTAGGGAGGCGGGTGGCAGCTGTGGGATCCGTAATAACTGGGGAGTTGTCACTTCAGAGGCTTCGGCCCCAGCCCCCTGCCCGGGAGGCCATCGTCCGAGCACACTGCAGCCCTTTGCTTGTTTGCAGCCCCTTCGAGGATGCTGGGGAACCGGAAGGGGATTTTCACTCGCCAGAGACAACCCAAAAGTGCAGCGTTCATCTTGCGAGAGCGATACTGGAGGATTGCCAACGAAACCCTGCTGCCGCCTTTGGCAAGGTCGGCGCAGTGCGTGGGGAACAGCTTGTTTACCCTGTGAAGGCGCGGCCGCTACCCCCGCGCCTCGACTCAGGGACTCCGCGCAGCACGACTACCTGGCGAGGGGCAGCCACTGCGCGTGTGCACGCGTGTACACAGGCGCACGTGTGCACTGAGCCAGGCCTGCCGGGCGGGTCCTGCCCTAGAAGCACTGGGCATGTTCGCGCTCTGGGTTTGAGGTCACGGCCAGGAAGGGGAAGTGAGAAAATAAAGGTATTTCTAGCAGAAAGAGTTGGCTTAAGTGACCCCCCCACCTATGGGGTCGATGGCACGGCGTGACCGGACGCCTTCCCTGCTGGAGGGGCGGGGCATCCCAGGCCCCCTCGGACGCCACGGAGGGGCCCAGGTCCTGACCCCAGTCGGAGGAATTAACGCCTGCAACCCCCGGGAGGGGCAGTGGTTGCTCGCTGGGCTGCGATCACAGGAGAGAGACCAGGCTTTACTCCCATAATGAGTTACAGTCTCGGAAACCACAGGGGCCAGTTTCACCCTGTCCTATAGGGTCACTGTGAGTCAGCCTTGGGACAACCGCCGGGTGGCCATGGGTTGGAATCAGTCCGAGAGAAACCAACAACCACCTGTACACTTGGGAATTCCCTGGGGGGTTGCAGACGGTTAGGTGCTCCGCTGCGAACCAGAAGTTGGTTCGAATCCACCCAGAGGCACCTTGAAAGGAAAGCTTGCCAGGTTTACACTGACCCCCCCATGGGGTGCAGCCCTACTCTGACACACCAGCTTGGCTTGTTTGGGTTTATGTTCACCAGATGACAAACCTAAGAAAACAGGTTTAAGTTTTGTCTCCGTGGGGGTGGGAGGCCCAATTATCAACCCTTCGAGGACGTTCACAGACCAGCCTTGACAGCAGGGGCAGAAGGTGGTAGCACACAAGGAGACCCATTTTACACGGAGAAGTGCTCCGGCTGTCACCCGTCTCGACGAGCATGTTCGTTCCACTGCTGTCAGCTCCATCAGTGTCAAGGGGGGCTAAGGTTCCAGCACTTGTCAATCGTGAAAGTGAAATGCTTTGGGGAAATGCCTTTTCTCCTCTAACCAAATGTTGGTGACAAGAAGTCAGTGGTAGTCGCCACCCAGCTGGCCCCTTCTTGGGTGGTTGGCAGTCGTGCCTTTTAGCTTATTTTTGTTAGAAAGGAAGTAAAGACATAGTCACCATTCATTAGGATTCAACTCATTGCAACGCCATAGGACAGAGTAGAACTGCCCCCTTTGGGTTTCTGAGACTTTTAAATCTTTATGGGAACAAATGGCTTCATCTTTCGCCCTCACAGTGGCTGGTGGGTTTGAACCAGCAATCTTGTGGTTAGCAGCCCAATGCCTAGCCTATAGTACCACTTAGGGTCTCCTGATCCCCAAACCTGACATCACGTTGTTTCCAGCACATAGTGACTGGACAGGACAGGATAGAGCTGCCCCTGTGGGATTCTGGGACTGTAACACATTCTGGGAGTAGAAAACCTTGTCTTTCTCCTGAGCAGTTGGTGGTTTTGAACTACTGACCTTGTGGTTAGCAGCCCAATGCATAACCACTATGCTACAGGGCTTCTTAGGCATCTAATAAATTAGGAATTATTTTATTCTTACATCTGAACTTCCTTCAAGTAATCTAATGTTGTAATTCCATTCCAAAAATATATAGGACCTCTAGCTGACAAAGTTTTTAAAAAAAACTAACAGGTACAGTTTTGATCAGCAGTTCTCAACCTGTGGGTCACAATCCCTTCAGGGGTCACACGACCCTGTCACAGGGGCCGCCTGATTCATAACAGTGGCAAAATGACAGTGATGAAGTAGCAACGACAATAATGTTATGGTTGGGGTCACCACCACATGAGGAACTGTATGAAAGGGTTGCGGGGTTAGGAAGGTTGAGAACCACTGCACTTGATGCTGTTTAAAACAGAAGCAGGTGGCCCATTCCGAAGGTACAATGCGGAGCCCCTGTGACAGCAGTTATGAGTTGGGCTGCTAACTATAAGGTTGGAATTTAGAAACCACAAGGTGCTCCAAGAGGAAAAGCCGAGGCTTTCTACTCCTGGAAAGCCACGGGGCGGTTCTACCCTGTCCTAGAGGGTTGCTATGAGTCAGCACTGAATTGAAGTCAGTGAGAACAAGTTCAGTGCAGATCAGTCAACTGTGGCAAACCTAGTCTTACATGTTACCTCAGAACATAGGAACAATTGTGGGGATCGTCGTACAAACAGAATTTGTTCTGTTGTACAGCTCAGTGGCACCTGCCACTATTAACAGCAATGGAATTTTTAGGCTGAAGTAAAACTATGAATTGAAAAGTAGATCTCTGTGCCTACAAAGGGGCCGTGGTGACCTAGTGGCTTATGAGTTGGGCTGGATTCCTCAAGTTTAGCAGTTTGAACCCACTAGCCACGGCTCAGGAGAAACACGAGGCTGACTGCTCCTTGAGACTCACAGTCTTGGGAACCCTGGGAACAGCTCTAGTCTGTTCAATAGGGTCACTGTGACTCAAAATTGACTGGATGGAAACTGGTATGTGCTTACAAGGAGCCCTGGTAACATAGTAGGTATGCACTCGGCTAATAACTGAAAGGTCGGCAGTTCTAAGCCACCAGCCTCTCCAAGGTGCAGCAGTCACTTCTGTAGATTGAGCCTTGGGAATCCTGGAGCGCAGTTCTACTCCCTCCTATAGGGTCACGGTGTGAGTTGGGGCTATTCGACAGCAACTGGTTTTGCTGTTTACCTGCCTGTAGAACAGATGACACTTTTTGTCATCCATGCTTGACGAATACACTCACCCTAAAACCCTGGAATTCCAAGAACTAGAATCTCTGGAGACATAACTTAGGACCTAACTTAAGAGCAAAGAGTCAACTCAGTCTAGCAGTAGAGATGAGTTCTTCATGGTCACTCTCTGGAATGGAAAGAGATGTGTTCAGGTCCCTTTCGCTTCTGAAGCACACCCTGCGGTGTGAGAAAGATGGCAGCACAACTTCCATAGGTAACGGCTACATTTATTTTTATACCAAAAAAGTTATGTGCAACAAATAAACATTCTTACATATTTACATTTGTTTTTATTTACCAGTTAGCAAAACGGTGCCCTAAATGTCTGATAAAGAGTATTTCTCTCTCTGTTGAGGGGAAATCTGCCCCGTGAACCCCATTTCCAGTGAATACTTAGCTTTGGAGCACAAAGCACTAGGTATAAATATTTTTTGATGGAACGTACTATACAGATCCAACACCTAATAGTTAGACCATGCTAAATATTAAGTTTTACAGTAACGAAACACTTCACCTTTTCTTGGCCAATTGGTCTATAATGTTTAGTCTGGAATAGCCTGGAGCCCCACCACCCCCCCTTTTGTTTGACCGAAGGGAATTTCTGACAAATTAGGAATCCTGAAGTGCTGCCTAAAACTCCTGGGAACGTTTCACCAACGCTGGCATTGTGGAACAAATACATGAGCAGAAGAGTTGCTGATCAGCTAGACACAGCTCTCAGGTGACACTGGGCTTCTCTTGGCATTTGTCTGAATGCTGCTTTTCAAGACGACACTTCCTGTTAGTGGTCACTGACGTCGAGCACTGGTACCAGTCTTACGTTGGGAAGTCACTGATGGTGCTAACGTTGCGCTTTTGCAGACAGTCTTTAAAATTAAAGTACCAATGAAAACCAAGGAAAGGAAAGCCAACAAATAATTTTCATTCTACTGTACTCTGGGTAGGTCCAAGGATCCCTGGTACCAGGTGAGGTTTTGCCTCTTTGTACGAAAATAATGCTTTCAACAGTCTTTCAAAATAATGGAGATATGCATCTGTATCAAGTTGAGAGAGTAATTCCTGGCACACAGTTAAACCTGAGTTATTGCACCGGAAGCGTATCCTCACTGACAGCAACTAGCTGCAGTGAGACGCCAAATGGAACCCTCTGGACAGACCACCTAGACCCCTAAAGCTTACTCCTGACACACACCATTTCACTTCTGCAAGTGACTGTCAAGCATATGAAGAAGCTTCACTTATTAGGAATCACTTCAAAAACACCAACAAAGCACGGATTTAGTGCTAAAAACCATCTTTCCTCTTACCCTTCAAAACTGACATCTAGTTCTGTTGCAATGCTAAAGTACTCAGTTTAAAAGAGTCTTGTAACCCCCCCCTCAAACTTGATAAGTCAGTGCCTTCCCCACTGCCCTCCCTACCGGGTAGGGCAGAAGGTGTGGAGGAAGCCTAACTTCCTGGGCAAAATTGCCAACGTATTTAGCACCCAACAAGGTTCCACTGTCCGCTGCTGACTGAGATACTGGCGTTGCGCTGCTGGGATTTCAGGAAGCGTGGGTTCATCTCAGGAAAAAAAAAATGTTTAATGGGTCTTCGGAATGTGGCAAAAATCTTTTTTTTTAAATACATCTGAAACAGTGGTATTTGCCCCAAGGTTTAGGAAGGGGGTGGGGGTGGGGACCTGAAGGGTCTGGCTAAACATGTTTTCATTTCCTCATATAAAAAATGCTGAAGACATTTGTGAGAATGCAACATCAAGACAAGCTTTAACTATACTTTGCAGACTGAGATCAATCGGGACACGAGGAACTTGTCCAGGGCTGCCTCTCGACACTGTGCACCACAGCCGCCTGAACTGTGAGCCGCTCTCCACTCGAGGGGGAAAAGAGAACCAGCCTGGGCCGTGGTGGGACAGGAAGCAGGGTGACAAGGTGACCTCCTTGGACAGCTGTCACAGGAGGGCTGATGTCTCCATAAACACCAGGCATTCAATCAGTGCTTCCAAGAGTTCTTTATCTGGTTTCAGATACAAGAATAACACATACACAGTAACACAGGCATTGAAAAGATTCACATTCACGGGGAAACTTAAGCCGTGATGAAGTCTAGGAAGCCATCTTTCAGACACTGGTTAAAAGTTCATGACAATTCAGGCTTTACACCTGCCTTGGCATCTATGAAGACAGTTGGAAAACTACTGAACAGTTGCTGACTCAACACATTTTTTTTTTACAAGGCCTGTCCCCTCCCTACAAAAAGAAGGCAAATGAAGCCCTCAAAAGTTACCGGTCTGATGAACTTTCTCTTTTAAAAAAAACCATAATGACTAATCAACTTGGAAGCAAAGGCATTCCTACTAGTTTTCCATCTAAGGAAGAAAATGATCAGAGTCTTCCCTAAAGAACGCAGGCTTTCTACTCCAAGTTGAGAAAGGGAAGGGAGGAGGAGGAAGGAAGGAGACTTCTGCCCAAGTTCAACACATAAAATATTTGGTTTGAGAATTTAAGACAGAAGGCACTTTTAACATTCATTTCGAAGATATGAGCCAAGAGACAGACTCTTAACCATTTTCACGTGGGTTCATTCAGGCCGCTGTAAAGAAAAAAGATGCCCTTGGGTCGTTCTCAGAGAGCTGTGGTGATGGTCCCGCTTCACCTGCAGATCTGTCTGTGGTCCTCCCCCTCACACTGAGCGGCATGCCCGCCCACCCGCCCCTCAAGCTGACAGGTCTAGTGTCTGGTTCTAAACTAGCTCAACTACTTAGTGCAGAATGAAACCACCAGGGGACAAAATAAAAATAACAACTATCCATCTACCAAAGAGACCATTCTACTACGGAGCGACTGGGCGTGTTCCGGTCACATCACAGCCATCATAATACTGTCTTGCTGGTTGACTGGCACCAATATTACGGAAACAGATCTGCGTCAGAATTCAACGGCTGGAATAAGACATTGGATTTCAAAAACGCCACATTAATATCTCCAGCTTTTCTCAGAAGAAATCTACTCACTTTTCCTCCTTAGTGTCCTCAAGGCCAAGAACTGGCAGTCTGGTCACAGATGACTTCTTGTGGAAGGTTACAATAGGTCCAGTTTTAGGACTAGGCACAAGCTTGAGGCTTGAACATCCAAATGGGCGTCTCTTCCTTTCTGAGGAGGAAGATGAAAGAGAACCAGCCACCCTGGGATTCCTGCTGTTGATGCTCCACCCACGGCTGCTGGACCTTCTCATGAGATGCTACCTGGATGAGCGTCCTAGTGCCACTCGTTCACCAGTCAGCATTGGGCTGCGGTTCTCCACTGCTGTACCTGCAACTGACCCGGGTACAGTAAGTCCTGCAGGGGTGGATCCGATAGTTCTACCTTTATTCACAAATAATCTATATGTTTAAATCCATCGGCTAAAAACATTTTACATGTTGTAAACATGGCAATATTTAATACAGTATCTATTCTAAAATAGTTTGTCATGATCACATTAGTCATACCTGAAATTGAATTTATACACATTAGAGAATTACTATCAATGGTTGCTCACGTGACAGTTGGGGCAGGGTGGGCTGGGCGACATTTTATTATTTCAGAAATGTCTTCAAAATAAAGTTAAAGCTTGTCTTTGATTGGCTTGGCATATCCTTATTTTTGTTTTGTATCCATATTTAACTGAAGATTGACACAAAAATAGCTAGGACCCCTTCTAATTTACAAGATTTAAAAAAATCATTTGGAGATTCTTGGGGAAGAGTGTCTGTTGTGAAGAATAAAAACAAAACAAAAAATCAAAAACCTGCTGCAAAGTAATGGAAAAGGAACTGGAGAGACTGTTCACCAGGAGTCCGTGGGTCATCAGTCCTGCTTGGGCTGCAGCTGCCGTTTCCAAGCCTCATTCAAGTAAACTAGTCGTTTGTAGTTGACGATGAGGAGGAGGAAGTTCAGCACGTATGTGATGAAGCAAATGAGGCAAAACTCCTTGAGCACAAAGTACAGAATATAAGCCAGGTACAAAGAGCCCACGACAGACACGATGGAGGACGTCATGAGGATCAAAGCCGCCACTGCGCTCGCCGTCAGGCCTGCAACAGAAGGGGACACGGGGCTCAGCAGGGTCTCAACATCGGGGGAGAGCTCCGGAGTCCACAGCTAGCATGTAGTGAACTGCTGCAGGGTTGCAATAATGATCACCTCACGGTTAAAACTCTCTGGTACTGGAGAAGGAAATGATGGGCGGTTTGATTAAGATGGTGCAGGCATGGTACCAGTATGGCTACAGTGTGCCACTCCATCGACCATCCAGATGCAGTGATTACGTACTGTACAGCCAGCACTCATTTGAAGGCAAGTGTGCAGAGGAAAGAGGCCACCTTGAAACCACGCTACATGAGCAAGCGGATTTGTGAACGAAGCAGCCCAACTCTCCCAACGAAAGAGGGAACGTGAGGATCAGAGCTGCTCTCCAAGTTGCAGACTTCTGGCAGGACCCTGACCCTCACCCTCATGCTGGCCCTTCTCACTGCAGGTTCCCTATCTGTGTAGTGAATTTTGCTGTTCCATGTTTAGACCAAGGTCCTTAAAACTCTATGTTGTAGTTAGGTGTCATTGTGCCCCTCATGACCCAGCGTGACACCATGTGACAGAGTAGAACTGCCCCGTAGAACTTTCTAGGTTGTCATCTTTACAGGGGCAGGTCACCCGTCTTTCTCCTTTGGAGCCTGGGGTGGACGTGATCCACCAACCTCTTGGGTGAGCAGCCAGGGGGTAATTAGCCACTGCGCCACCAGGGCTTCTCAGAGATCCGTGATGGCAGATCATTACACCAACATGGTGTTGACATAAAACCAACCAGTCATGATCAATGTTTCAGAAAGGGCAGGCAGGCGGGGCAAACAACATTTGGCCAGATGGGAGTCAAACTAGATGTAGAAAAAACAGCTCAAGACAAAGAACTGCCAGAACTCTTTGCTTTCTCAGAGATCTTCATGCGCAGCCTTTTGTAAATTCTTATAGAAAGGAGAATGGAGAACATGTGCATTTATTTAAGAAGAACAAGGGCGGGGGAAACAGGTGTAATAGCCTTAGAGAGGTTAATTAAGGGGCTGAACTCCCTGGTGCCTGCTGGGAAAAAGGCGAGGAGGTGCTGATGGGCTTGCGGCATGGTCAGCAGCGCTTGACTTGCCCCTGGGACCAGTGAGCACTAGACAATGACCCCTTAATAAGCTGCAACTTGGAATCGACTGGATGGCAACGAGCTTTCAGTTGGAAGAAGCTCTTCAAGACTAAAATGCTGCTGAATTGCATATGCTAGCGATGAGCAAATCTGGCCCACCACCTGCTTTTATAAATAAAGTTTTATTAGAACCCAGCCACGTTTATTCGTTTCTGTATATTGTCTGTGGCTGTCTTCACACGACTATGGCAGTGGTGAGTAGAGGCCACATCATATAAAGCCTAAACTCTTTTTTACCTGGCCCTTGATGACCTCCTGACCTACGCTGTAAACGTGTACAACTTCAAAAGTTTGGGCTGTCACTTCAGTTTTACCAGGGAAGCCTGAAAGCACGTGAACAAACTGTTTTCTTTCTGCCTGCCTCTTTCCTCAGCTGTAAAATGAGATTAAGAACCATACCTACCTCCTATGCTAGACATGCGGATCCCATGAAGTAATAGGTGTAAGGCTCTAACTGGAACATCCCTGGCACTTAACCAGTGCTCGATGACTACTTGCTGGTGGGAAACCAGCCCTAATGTAATGTGACTGGGTACTTGGGCCTTGGGATAACATTTCCAGTAGGATTAAAAACAAGCTGTAACTCTAAATAGATGACAGCATAGATGGCAGTCCTACCACACAATGGAATTTTCTGCAGCTGTATAAAAGAATGAAGATACTGTCCTGATATGGAATCATCACTAAGAGGTGATTAATGAGGGGTGGGGGTGGCATGGTGAATGCTCTAAATTCAAATGGGAGTGACTGTACAACTCTCCTTGATATGATGGAATGATTGAACTATTGAATTATATGATACGTAAATTGTGTGCCAATAAAACTGTTGGGGAGAAAAAAAAGTGATTCAGAGGGAAGGGTGGGGCCACCAAGCTTTAGAACATCTTCTACAATAGCTGGCTTTTGTATTAAAAGATTAAGATGATGCAGTTGTGTCTTCTTGTATATGCATTTAAAAACCTCTAGGAGATGGAGAAAAAGAGCTCCCCGCCGTGGGGGAGACTGACAGGAGGGCACAGAGGATGGAGGGAGGGTTTTCACTCCCTTTAATATATTTTGGCTTTTGACCCCTAACCATGATTAACATGGGGAAATTAAATTTTAAAATGTTGTATCTCAAACTATCAGAGTATGAAACCGTTACATGAATTCACAGGGGCCTCTGATGATAAAGACAGTTGACATTAAAAATGTGTGACTGCAATGAATGTGATGAAATAAAATGTGCATTAACTGCTGGTTATAAGACTAATGATCTGCTCTGAAGCCTTCACCCAATTCACAATAAAGCTGTTCTTTTTTTAGCATAGGTAAAGATTAAAAAAAAAAAAAAATGCACGTGAAGTCTCTGGAGAAGGGCAAAGCTTCCTAGACTGTGAATGGGGAAAAATGCCTGACATGTGACTTAAATATGCATGTACAAATTGTTAGAAATGAACTAAATATTATAGATGGAAATGTAAGTAACTATTGTGACTATTTCAGTTCACTAACACCAAAGTCACACATTTAAAAGCTTTTCTTAGGCTCCTTCGAGAGGGAAAGTGAATGACTGCCTCATATTTGGGCTTTAAATTCTGCTTTTGAAATTCACAAAAACAAATTTATATAGATTTATAAGTAAAACTCTCCCTCACCACATAACAACTCTCCACCCTTGGTAACAACCAGATCCTTCTCTGTGCATTTGTACGCAAGTCGATGAACCTATGCTCACCTATCCCTCTTACGTCACAATTTGTTCTCCACTGAGCAGTGTCTTGATAGAGCCCCCCTTCCCTTTTCATAGGGCTGCCCGATTTCCTGAATGTGTGTGCACCTCAACTGACTCAACCATTGCCTATTGTTAAGCTACTTGCAATGTCTTGCTATTTTAAACTGTCTTGCTAGGTCTATGTTTGTGCAGATATCTTTGTATTTCTGCAGGATAAACATCTAATCAAGCAACTGGGTGGTTGAGAAAATATAGGTTTTCAATTGGCTTCATAACAAATCACCTTCAAGTGACAGAAGAGCTGGTAGATCAAATGTAAAGGGGAGAAGTGAAAAAGAGATAAAAGAAAATTCACAATAAAAAGATAAAAATGTGACAAATGTGAAAATGTGCTACCAGGGTCCCAATAACAAACTTGGCAATAAAAGGCAAAACAAACACAGTACAATTAAAAATAATGAGCCACTCAGAGGAATGATCAAACAAGAAAGTCAAAGGAAAAGAAGAGACTTCTGGAAAAGTAGATTACTGGGCCAGAGAGGATGGGGTGGGGTTGAGGGTGGGGAGCAATTTGGATATCAATTAAGATCTATAAAAAATATCAATAGAGTTGACGAATTTTACCTTGTGGCAACATTTTAAAGAAGGACTCTGGATTTTATACAAAGTTACCCACTGTAGTGCACTTAAAATTTTACTTTGTGGCAAAAAATTTCAAGAGGGAGTAGATTTTATACAAAGCTGCCCACTTTGTAGCATTACTTAGAACATAAGAAATGTGAAGTCAAGATGTCCACAGTAACGAAACTCTTCAGAGGACAGACACATATGAACATTGTGTTCAAACACACCCTACCTCCCCAACTACCCGTCTCCCCTCAAAAAGAAAAAGAAAGGAACCGCTGGCTGGGTCAAGGTAGTGGGATTAGGACTGCCAGGCCTCTGTCACACCGTCTCAACACACAGTATTTAAAAATGGCTACAGGGTCTGTAAAAGAGTGAGGGGAGCAGGGGGCAGGGGAGAGACTGGTCTGGAGGCAGGACTGCCTGGAAACGGAAGTGGTTTTTCTGGGCCCTGTGGAATGCTGCTTGCCCTGATCATACTCCAGCACACCTGGAGCAAGGCATGAACCCATCAGAATCTTAGTGATCCCAGCTGTCACCACACAAAAACGTGGTTCCATCGTTCATGTAAAGACACTTCAGGGCAAAAACACAAAGCACTAAATAGAATATAACAAAGCAAATTTTATTTTTATCGTGCTGCATAAATACTTACCAAGTAATAATTGTAGTATATAAAATATAAGTCCAAAGACACTGTTTGGCTGGTTTAATACACCATCTTTTCCAAAAATGGAACCCAAAAGACCAAATCCTCGACCCCATCTGTAAAATAAGGAAAACCAGTAACCCTAAATTTGAGTCTCCCTAATTTTAAGAATGTCAAATTATCAGAAAATGGTCCACAATTTTAAGTCAACTAAGTTGCCAAACGTTTGACATGCTCTTTCTTTAAGGCATGATCTTAAAGTGGGGACACATGCCGCCATTAGAGTTGGATCTTGCATCTGATGAAAAGTAAGGGCCTACCATTCACATCCCTAGCTGCCAATACGCCCATTTGAATGTCTAAAGGACCACTCTCTCCAGGACCCCTGCCAAAAGTGGGGCAGAGGAGTCTTTTTCTGGCGGCCGTGGTGCTGGGAGAGGAAGGGTGCTCAGTTTATGGCAGGGCTTCTCAGGGGTGACCCCGATGACACTTTGGGTCAGGTAACTTTTTGTGCACTATATGTGCTTGGCAGGCCCTGGACACTACTGGCCAGATGACACAGATACCACTCAACCCTCAAAATGTCTTCAGGCATGGCCCACACCTCCTGCTTGGGGGTGGGGGCGGAGGTTGCTCCTGGTTAGAAGCTTGAGACTTGCACTATCCTTCTGCATGCAGTGTGGCCGGAAGCCTGCTTCCTGGTACGTTTCATCAGGGTGCACATCCAAAAGGTGTCTTTTAGGAGGAAGTGCAGTGTCAGAAACTGTATGTCTCTTCTAGAAGCATATCTGAATAGGCCTTCCTATTAGAGGTGGAAGTTCAAATTTTAAAGTCAATTTAACATTCTTTAAAAAAATTTTTAAACATTCTTAGGATCGTATTTTCTTATCTTTTAAAAAAGTACTATTAAAATCTAATTCAAGGAAACTGTACAAACACCAAACTTAACACGGACTTTGGGGGTGGGGAGGACAAAGCCCTAGGAAGATCGTTTTCACGCTGAAGGAGGGTAATTTTTAAACACAGCCACTTGGTTTCACTGTGCTTCACTTGACTTTATTTATTACGTTTCACAAATACTGCGTGCGTTTTGGTTTTATCAAATGGAAGATCTGTGGCTGTCCTGTGTCAAGCAAGTGGACCGGTGCCATTCTGCCAACAGCCTGGGCTCACTTTGTGTCTCCGGTCCCTGGTTTGGTCCCTCTCACCATGGTTCCAACTTTGGCACACCTCACAGAATGCAGTCTAGTGTCAACATTACTTCTGTGCACTGGGAAACCCAGACATGTATCTGCCCTGACTGCACTATTTGCTTTTTGGGAGGCCTGGAACCGAACCTGTGGCATCTCCAGGGTCTGCCTGGACACAAAAGAAGCCCACCAGTTCTGGAGCCACCAACAGAGCAGGACTCTACTGCGCCTGTTAACTCCGGTGCCAAAGAAAACTGCCTGAAGGCAAGGGGAAGGCTGAGACAATCCCTCACATGGCTATCAGAGCTATCCAAACCAAGAGGGGAAGCTTTACAAAATCCACTTGGGAGCTAGAGCGAGCTCTGATTTCACTAGCTCACCAGTGCAAGTCTTTCCCTGCACTGAATCACACATTTTGAGGAACACCGGCTCACAGTCTCTCTGTTCATTCTTTCTTTCACCCCTAACCACTTACTGAGTACCCACTGGGCACAGATACTGGGTTACTAGTTAGGGACCAGGTACACAGGAGTAAGCAGGCCAACCAGGAGCTGCCCTTAAGAGCCGAGACTCTACTTAGAGGAGAGAAGCAATAAACATGTACGGTCATCAAGTGGATTCCAACTCATGGCAATCCTATAGAGGGTTTTTGAGACTATATCTTTATGGGAGCATACAGACTCATCTTTTCCCCATAGAACAGCTGGTGGGTTCAAACTACCAACCTTGTGGTTACCAATCCAATACCGAACCCACAGCAACACCAAACCCACAGTCATTGAGTCAATTCTAACTCATAGCAACCCTATATAGGGCTCCAGAGACTGTAAATCTTTGAGAAGAGAGCCTCATCATTTTCCAATGGAGTGACTGGTGGGTTTGAATGGCTGGCTCTGTGGTTAGCAGTGCAACATGTGCTTTGCAGCACCACCAAACCAAACCAAACCAAACCAAACCCGCTGCCATAGAGTTGATGCTGACTCATAGTGACCCTATAGGACGGAGTAGAATTGCCCCTGTGGGTTTCAGTAGCTATAAACCTTTACAAGAGTAGAAAGTTTCATCTTTCTCCCACTGAGCTACTGATGGTTTTGAACTGTTGGCCTCGTGGTTAGCAGCCCAACTTGTAACCATTATGCTACCAGGGCTCCACAGCAGCACCAACAGGGCACCTTAATTAAGTATGTATACATAGTGGATTATATATTGGGCTGCTAACCACAAGGTCAGCAGTTCAAAATGACCAGCAGCTCTGGGGGAGAAAAAAATTAGGCTTTCTACTCCTGTAAAGATTTATAGTCTCAGAAATCCATAGGTGCAATTCTACTCTGTCCTATAGGGTCACTATGAGTTAGAATCAATTAGATAACAGTGAATTTTTTAGTACAGATTATGTATCCTACAGAAAAATGGACAAGTTACTTAGTAGATGGGAAAGGGGGAGTCAGTATAGGTGTTCTCTAGATCAGAGCTGCTGAAGATTTCGAGAGGGATCTGGTCACCATAAGAATGTGCCTAGCAGGAACTAGGATTCTTCATTTCCCAAAACAAAACAACATTCCAGATGACGCCAATAGAGCTGGTTTGAAGACCTTGCTCAGAGAACAGAACGTGAGGGGGCACTCTAGAGAGGTGTCGTTGAATGCCCTTCTCAGGAAGGACTTTCTGAACTGAAGCCTCAGTGATGGGAAGCAGCCAGTTCCATCAAGAATGACAAGTCCGACACTTCACCAATGGAGACATTCAAGTGGCCAAAACCACTGGATGGATGCAAATCTGAAGTACCAGGAAGTACCACCTCAGAAAACAAGGAGCACTTGTGAGAATGTGAGGAGACTGGAACCTTCATGCAATGGCACCGCCATGGTGGAGAGCAGCACGGCAACTGCTCCAAGAATTTAGAAAGGGGAGCGACCACATGCCTCCATGACTCCACTCCTAGGTCTAGAGCCTAGGGACCTAAAAGCAACGGCACCAACAGGGTCAACAGGTTCACCGGTCTTCACTTCAGCACTTTCCACAATCACAATCAGTGGAAACAACCAAGAACCCATCAACAGAGGGCCGCATAACTGAATGCACAGTGGAGCACTACTCAGTCCTGAAGAAGAATGAAATCCTGATATACACAACAAGGATGACCTCAGGAGATTCTACCGAGTGAAATAACTCAGACATAAATGGACAAGTATTTTACAGTCTTACACCTAATTGAGGGCAGTAATTAGGTCAGCAGAAGAGGAAACCCGTCGGTGAGATGCGCTGACCCAGTGGCTGCAACAAAGGGTGCAAACACAGCAATGATTGTGAGGCTGGCACAGGACCAGGTGGTGCTTCTATCTGTGGCACACAGGGTCTCAAAGAGCCAGATTTGAGGTGACAGTGCCTAACAGCAACATGTTCTAGACAGACCAATGGTCACAAAGTGTTGGATGGGTGGGACGTGGGCCGGCATGCTTTGGGAAGGAATTAATTATTTTTGTCTATCGTGATGGGGAATATGGTACTAAGGATCAATTTTTAAAAGAATTGTACAACTATATCAACAGTCTGAAAAGGGGAAATGAATGGGTGGTACCTGTAATGCTACTTTTTTTAAAAATTGGGGGCTCTTACAGCTCTTAGCACAATCCAAACATGTATCCATTGTGTCAAGCACATCTGTATATATATGTTGCCATTATCTTTTTCAAAACATTTTCTTTCTACTTGAGCCCTTAGTATCAGCCCCTCATTTTCCCCCTCCCTCCCCAATGAACCCTTAATAATTTATTTATTTATTTTTCCATGTCTTACACCGACTGCTGGGATTGGTTCCCCTTGCCACCCCTCACTTGCCTCCTAGTGTCACTACTCCCATTATTGGTCCTGAGGGGTTTATCTGTCCTGGATTCCCTGTGTTTCATCCCTTATCTGTACCAGTACACATGCTCTGGTCTAGCCGGATTTGTAAGGTAGAATTGGTGTCATGATGGGGGCGGGGGTAGCCTTAAAGAACTAGAGCAACGTTGTGTGTTTTGTCAGTGCTATACTACCTCCTGACTGGCTTGTCTCTTCCTTGTGGCCCTTCTGACAGGGGATGTGCAACTGACTACTTTAAAACCAAATGACACCTGTTTCTCTCAGTGGATTCTGGCTCACAGTGACTCTGGAGGGCAGAGTATCCCTGCCCCCGAGGGTTTCGTCTTCAAAGAAGCCGATGACCATCTTTCTCCCTCGGTGGGCCTGGTGGATTCAAACTGCCATCTTTTTGGTTCAAAGTCAAGTGCTTAACCCCTGCGCTATCCCAGATTCCTTGTGTTCATGGTACTGGACATTAACTAAATACTTCCTGAGATTCGTTTCCTTGATTTGAAGGTTTGGGGTCCTTGTTTCATTTGGTCTCAAGTTGTTTTCAGCTCTGTTCTACCTCCTGGGTTGGTGAGAAGTGTTTGGGGTGTTTAAAAAGTTGCAAGCAGTCACCTGAGACACAACAACTGGTTTCTATTCACCAGGAAGGAACAGCAGAGGAAAAAGGCGAACCAGGGATGAGAGAAAGGAATGAGCTGGGGGTTTGTCTCTGTGAACTAGCACCTCAATGCCACAAGTCCAGAATGGGATGGGTCCAGCGACCACTGCTAAATGTTTTCATCAACAATCCAGTAGATGAAATCTGAACAAAAGGAAGATTATCAGGAAACCAAACTTCAAAGCCCTATAGTAACCAAACTTCAAAGCCCTATAGTAACCAAACTTACTGGACCCATTGAGACTTGAAGGACCCCTGAAACACTTGCCAAGAAATAACCTTTAAACCCTGAATCCAAACTATCGCATGAAGCCATCATTAATTAGACAACAGCGTCACCCAAGTACTCACGTTTCCCTTGAGCACTGCATGCTTACAAAGTGGTATCTGTCTGAGTTCAAACCAATGGCAGTTCATCTAAAGCACAGATGAGAGGGTCAAGGGGCAGAGTGGGTTAATAGGATGGTGATATAACCACATGGGTCAAGATGGCGAGTCTGGTGATGGGAGAATGCAGCTCAAGTCTAATCAATGACATCATTTGGGGTCTTGTTTGCCGGCCATGATCAAAAGCCTGGATTTTAATCTAATTGCAGTGGGAATACAGCCCGTGGCTTTTGAACAGGAAGTGATCTGAGCTTTGTGAACACTCTCCAATATAGGTGCAGCAGAAACTGCTGGAGGGCAAGATGAAGACAGGGAGTCTACTTCTCAGCTTTGCTCGTCCCCAGTAGAAATCCACATTTAAATCTCTGCCTCTGGGAATCACTGGGCACACTGCCAAAATTATCCTGGGCAAGCAGAATTTTTATTAACTCAATGCACTGGTCTATGCCTAATTACTCACACAGGCTCATATCAAAACTTTCCCTGAAAACAATGCAGTCACCCAAGAAATGAATACACTATTTTATCAAGGGAATACACACATAGGTTTAAAAATGAAGCTTAAATGCCTGATCAAACAAAATGCAGTTGTTGCTAACCCCACATCTCCCCAGGGTCAGTTCAGTTCTGATGCCCAGAGGAAACCACTTTGGTGTCTTTTAATGGTTTTCTCTATGTATCTCTGCTACTTCTGAAATAATGTGCACAAATGTTGTTTCCACCACTCATCACTTAGCTTATCACATAACTTTCCAGGACCAAATATTTCTTCAATGTAAATACTTTTCTTCAACAACATAAATGACGGCTATACACATGGACTTCATGGACTTCACCTGACAGAATACATAGAAATCAAACTGACTACATTTGTGAGAAGAGAGGATGGAGAAGCTTAATATCAGCAGCCAAGGGCTGACTGTCACTCATATGTAAGTACACGCTGAAACAGAAGAAAATTAAAACAAGTCCACGACAGCCAAAATATGACCTTGAATATATCCATCCACCTGAATTTCTAGAACATCTTAAGAACAGAATTGATGCCCTGATCATTAATGACAAAAGACTTGATGCATTGTGGGATGACATGAATATCATACATGAAGAAAGCAAAAAAGCCATTAAAAAGACAGGTAAGAAAGATAAGATAAAGTGGATGTCAGAAGAGATTCTGAAACTTGTTCTTGATTGTAGAGTAGCTAAGTCACACAGCTGAACAGAAAAATTCGAGATGACAAAGCATTGTAATGCAATGTGCAAACATCTAGGACCCCAGAAAGGAAGAACACATGCGGCATATTTCAAGCTCAAAGAACTGAAGAAAAAATGGTAAGCCTTGAGCTACAGTATTAAAGACTCGATGGGTGAGGAACAGCTCTGAGCCCGCTGGCGGAGTAGCGGCGGTGGCATGATTGTTCCGGTCCTGATGTACAGAGGAGGAAGCTGACGCTCTGGCTATGAGTCCTGGTGACATCCTGTCCCTCATGGATTGCAGGACTCTCAAGGCACCTTTACCGGTAACCAGCTTGCTTAAAATGATTGAAGTGGCTGCTATCTTGGTTGAAGAAAAGGAAGTTCCATCTAGAGCCCTGTGGCCCATTCTTCAGAACTCCTCTGGACGCACCGTCCTAGCGTCCCCCGCCAAGGCAAGATGTAGCAGCTCAAAGAGAAGCCCAAGAAGGAGACGTCCAAGGACAAGAAGGAGCGGAAGCAGGCCATGCAGGAGGCCCAGCAGCAGATCAGCACGGCAGTGCTGCCACACTGGCTGTGGTCGTGCTGCTGAGCGTGGTGCTTGTGTACATGGCCACGCACCCCACCACCGCTGAGTGAGCCCCGGCGGGACCCGCCTGCGAGAGGTGGCGAGGGCGGAGGGGGGAGCAAGTGCAAGCACATGGCTCTCATGTTCAGGGGTTTCCAAGTTGCTGAGCTCCCAGCAGGAGCTCCCTGTCTTCTCTGGTCTTTGACTTGATTAAAGTTTCTTCACTTTTCTTGGGAGGGAATGTGCCATATACCTAGGGTCCACTCCATGTGCCTTTCCGCGTTCAGAGCAGTGTGGGGGTGTCTTCTTCTCGTGGGAAATTGGTCTTTAGGCCCGCCGTGCCGAGAGGAGGCGTCACAGGGTCACCAGTCAGTTGGAATCCATGCGCCCCCATCCCCATTGTTTTGACCATGAACCTTTCCTACACGTGTTCAGTTTCCAAAGGGACAGTATTTCTTATCTGTGCTTCATGTGATTTGAAATATGTAGACTTCAAAAGTGAAATATTTATTTTTGGAATAAAGGAGATAATAGGCTTATTAAAAAAAATTCTATGGGCAAAATATGGAATGCAGGAAGCATCAAAAGATGATGGAAGGGCCAACAATGAAAATAGAGACACCAGGAGGATTAGGGGAAGGTGGGGGTTGAAAGTGGGAATCAATCACAAGGATCAACATATAAACCCCTCCCAGGGGGCCAAACAATGGAAAAGTAGGTGAAGGGTGACAAAGGACGATATAAGATATGAAAATAATAATCTATAACTTATCAAGGGTTCATAAGGGATGGTGGGAGGGGGAAGGAGGGGGGGAAATGAGGAGCTGATATCAAGGGCTCAAGTAGAAAGAAAATGCTTTGAAAATGATGATGGCAGCATACATGCAAATGTGCCTGACACAATGGATGAATGTATGGGTTGTGAAAAGAGATGTAAAAGCCCCCAATAAAAGTATTTAATAAAAAAATGTTCAAAAAAAGACGATGGAAGGAATAGTCACCAAAAAACCTGGTCGAAACTCTAAACCATTTCAAGAAGTAGCATACGATCAAGAACTGATGGTACTAAATAAGGAAGTCCAAGCTGCACAGAAGACATGAGTGAAAGACAAGACTCTAGGAATTCATGGAATACCGATCAAAATGTTTCACTTGTCTATGTCAAGAAATGTGGAAACAAATGGCCAAACAATTGCAAGAGATCCATCTTTGTACCCAATTTAACCAAAGGTAACCCAAAAGAATGCAGAGATTATCAAATAATACCATTTACTTCCACATGGACATAAACCTGCTGAAGATCATCAAACAACAGTTGAAGCAGTACATGCACAGGGCGTTGCCAGAAATTCAAGCTGGATTTGGAAGAAGACATGAACAAAGGATTACACTGCTGATGTCAGGTGGTTCTTGCATGAAAGCACGGACATCAGATGAATCTTGACTGAAATCACAGAGCACCAGAAAAATGTTAACTCGTGTTTTAATGACTACCCAAAGGCATTCAACTGTGTGGATCATAACAAACTATGGATAATGTTGAGAAGAATGGGAATTCCAGAACAGTTCATTTGTGCTCATGTAAAATCTCTATGTGGGCCAAGAGTCCGTTGTTGGAACAAAACAAGGGAATATTAAGTGGTTTACATTGGGAAAGGTGAGAATCAAGGTTGTATTTTTTCACCATACTTAATCGGTATGCTGAACAAATAATCCAAGACCTGGACTATATGACAAAGAGGACACCATCAGGATTGGAGGAAGGCTCATTTAAAAACCTAGGACAGACAGATGAACACAACCTAGCTTGCAAGGTGGTTTGAAGCACTTGCTGATGAAGATTAAGGATATGGACTGCAACTCAGTATCGAGAAAACCAAAATCCCCCCTACCTCCCGCCTGGGGGAGGTGGGAGTGAACCACAGAAATGTGGGTGAAGGGAGACAGCGGACAAATGTAAAATTGAAGATAATAATAATGTATAATGTATCAAGGGTTCACAAGGGTAGGATGGTGGGGAAGGGAGGGAGAGAAAAAAGAGAAGCTGATACCAAGGGCTCAAGTAGAAAAAAAATGTTATGAAACTTATGATGGCAACATTATGTACAAATGCACTTGGTACAATTGATGTATATGGATTGTTTTAAGAGCCGTAAGAGTCCCCAATAAAATATACATATATATAAAGAAAACCAAAATCCTCACAACTCATTATGAACAGAGAAAAGGCTGAAGTTGACAAGTATTTCATCTTGCTTGGATCCATAACCAATACTCATGGAAGCAGCAGGCAAGAAATCAAATCACATATTGCACTGGGAAAATAAGTTTCACAAGAAGTCTAAGCAATGATGCCACCTTGAGGACTAAAATGAGCCCAAACCCAAACCAAAAAAAACAAACTACACGCCACCAAGTTGATGCCAACTCATAGCAACCCTAAAGGACAAGGTAGAACTGCCTGGTGAGTTTTTGAGACTGTAACTCTTTACAGGAGTTGAAAGTCTCATCTTTCTCCCACATAATGACTGGTGGTTTTGAACCACTGACCTAGTGATTAGTAACAAGACAAGTAACCTATCACGTGGCATCAGGGCTCTTTACAATTCCCATTAGTCACCTTTAAATAATGTCACATAGCTTGCTGACCAAACACATGGAGCTATGCTAGAGCCCTGGAGCTGAAGGAATCACATGGAGACCGCTGCCAGCACTGAGATGCCTCTACCACCACTGGATCCACAAGATTTTCCACCCACTGGCCTATGATCTTACTGCATTCGGCAACATTGCATGTGTTTCGTGAGTTTGAAGAAGGTTTTATAGATTGGTATTGGACATATGGGCTAATATTGGACTCATGGACTTGATCTGGACTGGGCTGGGGTGTTTTCTCAATATTCAATTGCTCTTGTGATACAAAGCTCTTTCTTATATACACGAGTCTCCCTAGATTTGTTTCTCTAATCTACAAAGACTAACACGTTAGCATTTCCATTTCTGGGGAAAAAGCTATTGGAATTTTGATATGAACTGGCTTGAATCTGTAGACGGATAGTTTTTGCACAGCACAATCATATTAATTCATGTTCCAATCCATGAATACAGAATGTTTTCCAATTTACTAGATTTTTAAAAAATTTCTTGGAGCACCATTTTACATTTTTTTAGTATATGTTACTTTTCACCTTTCTGGTTAAATTTGCTATTTTGTTATTTTAGATTCTATTATAAGTTGAATCATTTTCATAACTCCTTTCAGTTTGTTCATTGCTGGCATACAGAAACATAATTTGAGTTTTTTGTGTTGATCTTATACTCTAAACATTTATTAGTTCTAATAACTATCTTGTACATTCTTCACGATTTTTCCAAATACAGGGCCATGCCATCTGCAACAAAGATAGTTAATTTCTTCCTTCCACATTTGGGTGTCTTTTGCTCTTTTCTTGCCCAATTGCCCTGGCTCGGACTTTTAGTATAATGTCTAACAGCAGCTATAAAAGTGGGCATCCTCCTCTTGTTACTGGTCTTAGGGGGAAAGCTTTCAAGGTCCCCATTAAATATGTCAGCTGTGGAATTGGCACAAATGCTCTTAACATGTGGAAAAAATTCCCTTCTAGTTCAAAGCCTGCTACGTTTGACGGATGTCTTTTCTGCAGCAAGTGAAATGGTCATGCAGCTCTTTCCCTTCACTTTATTCATGGGGTATTACTACTTGGGTTCATTTTAAGCAAAATGTCTCTTGCATTTCTAGGATAACTAATGCTTGGACATGACATATAATCCTTTCAATAGGCTGCTGGATTCAGTTTGCTAGTATTTTGTTGAAGATTTTTGCATATATTCATGAATGATATAGGTCTGTTGTTTTCTTGAGATGCCTTTATCTGACTTTGGCTTCAGAAAGAGTGAGGAAGCATTCCCTCCTCTTCTTTTTGGAAGTTTGAAAAGGACTGGTGTTAGTTCTTTAAATGTTTGGTAGCATTCACCAGTAAGCCCATCTGGTCCTAGACCTTCCTAATGCCATGACCCTTTAATACAGTTCCCCCAGCCATAAAATTATTTTCGTTGCTACTTCATAACTGCCATTTTGCTGCTGTTATGATTCGGGCAACCCCTGTGAAAGGGTAGTTCAATCCCCAAAGGGGTCACGACCCACAGGTTGAGAACCGCTGTCCTAGACTTTTCTTTGTTGCGAAGGTCTTAATTGTTGATTCAATCTTTTCACTTGTCTATTGAGCTTTTCTATTTCTTCTTGAGTAAATTCAGGTACTTTGTGTGTTTCTAAAAATTTTCCCATTTCATCTAGGTCATCATCTACTTTGTCTGCAGACAAGTGAGTAAAAATTTATTTTCAAATACCACTTACAATAGAGCACATACACACAAAAACAAAACAAAACAAAAAACATTTGGTTACAATTCTAAGAAAATATATGTAGTATCTGTGTGCTGGAAAATAATAAAACACTGATAAGATAAAGAAAGCCTACATACACAGAGAATGTGTTCATGAATGAATTGAAAGACATGAATACCAGACATTAATTTTCCCTAGACTAATCTATATAGTCAATGCAATTCCAATCATAATAGTTAAAATTGTTCAGAAAAAAACTGATCGTGAAAAGCAAGAGAACTAAAAATGCACAGTGTCTGAAACAGCCGAGTTGAGTTAGAATGAACACTCCTTTCAAGGCATATTACAGCTTTAGTGATCAAAACAGGTAAGACAAACACAGAGATCCATAAAATAGAACATGACGCTCAAAAATGAAAACAACTGATATTTCAGCAAAAGAGCAAAGTTAAATTCAACGGAGAAAGGACCATCTTTTCAGCAAAATGGGGCTGGAACAACGTCCCTATGCAAAAAGAGAGAGAGAGAGAGAAAGAATCTCGATCCATACCACATGCTTTAAACTGCAACGGAAATCGTTAAAGTAGACTTAGTCAAAACTTTTACTTTGTGAAAGGTAATGATGGAAAAATAAAAAAGAAAGGCAAAGACTGGGAGAAAAAATTGCAAATTACACATCAGACAAAGAACTCCAACCCAATTTTTTTAAAGCAAGGATTTAAACAAGCACTTGGCAGATGTACTTTGCAGATGGCATAAGCACAGGAAAAGCTGCTCATC